AAAAAAATCTTTAAATTATAGTTTCTCTTTTCTGGTCCAATTTAAATTGTTACATAGTTGCTAAATTAGTGCTGTAATCCCTGCTTACAAATTGCAGAATTATTTTTAAAAATAGATGTAGTTTTACTGGAGGGAACAACCTTACACTTTAAACCCTATGTGCTGCAGGATGCTGCTCTTGCACAGCTTTCAACCAGCCACACTCACATGCACACAGAGTGAGGTTTACAATACAGTCACACTGAAGCCAGTAGCAGTCTCACCAGAAATTTCAATGAGCCCAAATTGAGTTAACACTGACATTTTAGAACGATTAACAAATTTAAGCTTTCCCAAGATGCTCCATGGCACCAGTGGCTCTCGTTGTACCATTTCTTAAAACATCAGCATTTCTCTTGTGTTCTGTTCTGAACTACTCCTACTGAACTAAAGCCACTGATAGGCCAGGAAGTTAGAAGACTGTAGGAGAAAAAAAAACACTTCCAAGATATACTTTTTCTGCTCACAAACCAAGCAATTGGGGAATGGAAAGGGGAAAAACCAAGAGAAAAAAGGTGGAGCACTATGATCCCAAGTTCAAAGCTGGGCTGGGGAACAGCAATAATCAGGGCAAGACTTCCATGCATAATTCTTCTTCCTTCAAGCACTTCCACAGCTTTAGTACTATGGAAAGGTGAACTTCACCTGCAAAAAAACCCTTGTAAGTGACCTTTGGGGATAGGTATAAGATATTGTCCTCAATATCTCGCAGTGCTCAGCAGAAACAGGAAACCTCGATCCCTGTGTCTCCACAGGGCTCTGCAGAGCATACCCACCATTTCCCACATCCTAGCTTGATAGAAATGAGAGTTTCTTTCTTCTCCCTCAATCATACATCATTTCTAGCCCACCACTTCTCTGAAGTCTTTCATCTGACCCTGGTTATTTCTGCTTTCTTGTACCCTTCCCAGTCCCACCATGGTCCTCTCCTCAGGTGGGTCACACTGACTTGGACACAACAGAAGAAACCCTAGGAGGCCAGGAGCATCAGCGAGATCTCGCTGCTTTCTGCACTAACTGCAGGAGCTCAGCCCCTCTCAGTCCTCACCTCAGAGGGCACATCTCCAGCTGCCAACTGCCAGATTGCCAGGACAGGGCAGAAAGAATGGATGAAAACTTCCAAGTCCTGGAGAAAGTTATCTGGACATCAAAGAACACCCATTCACAAAACAGCAGCATCACTCTTGCCAGACTGGTGTGTCTGGTTAACCTTGTGTTCAGTCCTTATGATAACACGGTATTTGGACAGCAGACAGCTGGCACTGCTCAACATCTTGCTCTTCAGTCTTTTACAACAACAGTTCCACTGATACTACGCTTTGCCTTTTCCCTGCTCCGAGTCCAGTGTTAAAATCTCTTCAACTACTTAGAGGAAGCAAACCAAATGTTCTTTTGTCAGTAATTTGCCCTGTAAGGGAGGGGGAAAATATACTGATAACATACTGCAGACACGGCATTTGTCACGTGCAGAGCAGTGCACTGGTTACACTAGAAACCCTATCATGGTATTTCAAATGTTAACTTGACTGTCCTAATGACTGGGAAACATCTGTCTCCTATTAACACTTTAGTTTTTACAGTTGCTTTTAGTTCAGCAGTAGTGTCTTAATGGAGAAGACTGGTACTCTTTTAGAAATAACATCAATAATGAAAGAATCCTTGGATGCAGAGCAAAACCAGCAAACACATTGGCAACAGAACTCGCTGCACTCAGAAGATGTAACAGGAAATAATAGTGATGGGCTTTTGGGTGGGAAGATTTTTGTGTGAAAGAAATTAACTCTGGTACTTAAATTCGCATTAAGAAAAATATTTCTTTTCAAACAGGTGATTGATTTCCTTAGATATTAATTCAGACTTTTGGGGAATTTCATCTTAATTGGATCACCGATAAATAAAACCAGAAACAAAAACAACAAAGAAAACCCCTTCTGCAGGCTATTTAGGCTTGGTACTGACTAACCAGTAATTAAATACAGCTCTTCACAGTAATCTTAATTATGGCTTCACTACACCACAGCTAAGAAGAGTCACACAACAAACTGAGAAGATTAGCCAATTCTAATTGTTGAAAAACATTTATTTTTGTTTTTGTGCACAGTTTTTGTGTGCATAAGGCCACAAGTCACATCAGTGAATTATAAAAAAAAAATCAACGGCTTCAAGAATTTATATATCACAACTAGGCAAGTGTTACTAGGCAAGTAATAGTTTATTTTTTTTATATAAATCAAGCCTCTATGGCTTGCATGAGAGGCCAAGAGTTTTTGACTTGGGAAAATTGGGATGTGTGCTAGAAATCAGTGTGAATTAGGTAGACCAGAAATGAGTTTCACTGAATTACTTACACTTATACCAGTTGAGAACCCTGTTTTCTCAGCTGGACATGAATTAGCTGTCCAGTCTTGGGCCAGTCACATCTGCTGCGCCTTCCATGGGAATTCACGTCCAGAGGAAACTGAGTCAAGGTACATCAGTACTGACTTTCTACAAATCTAGGATTCCTAGTATCCAAGCTATTGTCTGACAATAGAGACTTTGGGAAACAAAAAATACCCCACCCACCTTCAAAAACCAAACACCAAAATATCCCCCCAAACCAACCAATCAACCAAAAAGAAACAGAAAGAAAATCCAAACCAAAGGAAAAATAATCAGAGGCCACAATTCAGCAGAATGTGGCTAGACAGGCTAGATTTTAAGCAGGTCATTAACTCTCAGAGCTCAGGATAACTAAATCACACATCTAAAGGCATCTAAAGACAAAAGCAGTCAGACTGTGCATCATCAATTTAAGGGCCTCATTCCTCTGCAAGAACAACTTGCAAGCCTAGCTCAAAGCCTTAGTGTACTTAAGCATTCATTATCCTACTGAAGCCAATGCAGGCTTCAATCCACTGAAAAATCAATGAGACATATGCTCTAGGACACAAACTCCTCAGGCTTACAGCCAGTGGCATGGCAGAAGCCTAGATCCTTTGTAGATCTGGCTTTCAACACAGCAGAGTCCTGAGCATTCTAAAAGACACTGAGACAGGCTCCCAACACTTGTTTCTTCCACATTTAAGAGTTTAATATGTGCTTGGGTTTGTTTTTTTCTTTAATGCATCAGACTGCCAGATTCCTGCTTCCCATTTTCCACTCACAGTACCAGCTGTCCAACTACTTATATGTAGCCCCATCAGCATTGCCATCCTTTCCCCTGCATGTGCAGCAGCAGATGGATCCAGACGTGTTTTGGGTTAACTCCATAACCATGTTTTTGTGGACTGCATGGATAAACATTTAAAGGCCCCTTCTGGTTATATAAAAGGAAGCTATTAAACGTTTACTCTTTCCTCTGTACTCAGAGCTGCAAAGCCGTATCACAGAACATACAAACGCAGATGCAACCAGGCAATTATCGTTCCTTTATCCCTTAAATAGATAGAAGATAAATTTGAAAGAAAATGAGGAACAGAATCCTTCTCCCTTTCCTTTTTTATCCTTTTATCTCCCAATGTAGGAAGTTTACTGAACCCTTGCCAACAATTCACTCAGGCTAATGAAGTGTATAAGTAATGGGATTAAATAATCTTAAACCATTACTACAGTGGCTAATGCAGATGTTTTCCCAAACTAAAGCAGATGAGTGGTGTAGAATGCGTGCTTGATTTAAAAAAGAAGAAAAGAAAGTATCAATCTGCAAGCAGATGAAGTCAATTCCAGCCTGAAGTCAATGAAATGTTTAATTCCAGTTACATAAAGTTGCTCCAATTATATTATGAATGCACCTTCCTAAAGTCTTCAGTGCTTTGCACGTGGTTAAACTTGCCACAAAATGAAACTTAAATTTTTTATGGTGCAATCATTTTTGTGCAAACAAAAATAGAAATTATTTAAAAGGTACATATTCGACCAAGAGACCATTTAGCTTTTAAACACAAATTAACAAGGCCCTTCTATCACTGCCATTGTAAATAAGACACAATCCTCCCTTTTTATATTCAATATTTCAGTAACAATCTCACTGTGAAGGCTCTGTAGAAATAGAGAGAACAATGAGATACTGGTGGCATTTACAGAAATATTATAGTATTATTGCTCTAATTATCACTGGAATGACAGAAATGTCATGAAAAACATCAATTTTTACTTTCAGAAGTGTGAATCCAATTCTGGAAGGGTCTCAGGTCCAGTGTTTGTAAGAACTCAAAATTGAGAATTTAGAGAAAGATCTGTCAGTGTTTTAAGGAAGTTCTAGTTCTTTTCTTACTCTAAATTACAAGGATAATCCTTATATACTGGATGTTAAGGTCAGACCAAGGTAAAGCCTGAGGCACACAATGGGGTGTTTTTTTAATTTGGACCTGTACAACTGGTTCCAGCTACTTGTTATGGGAGCCTCTTGAAATTAGCATCTCCTCAGAGCAATTGTTAATTGTTTGCTTTAAGACCTTGCTAGAAGCATGAAATGAAATTTTAGGGTGATGTAAGCTTCAAAAGATATCTAATCCCAAGACCCTTAGTTCAGTAGAAAGTCTTCCATCAAGCAAGGCAAAAGTCTTGATTTTAGAAGTTTTAATGCTTTCTTGCATCCCACCTCCTTAATCTTAGTGGGCACCACAGTCTGTAACAATTTTGGTATCAGGTTTCCCAGCATGGAGAGCTGAGAACCATACTACTGCTAAAAAATGACAGCATAGTCTGCTCCTTGCAGAGATGAAACAATCACAAACCCCAGCTCTTTCTCCTGCTGTGTCCACTTCCTTTCAGAGGCAGGTCAGACCAGGAAATGCAATTCACCCAGTAAGCTGGAAAGACCAGAGTTCTTCTGAAGACCGTAAAAAAACTTGTTGCTCATGGTACTGCCACAGGGGTGCCAGATTTTAACTGTAAAGCAACTCCAGAGCAATGAAAGAAATAGATGTTTCCCGTGTCTATGCATTAAAATCAGGACACAAAGAGGAACGAGTACTCACAATGTAGCAAGGTTCACAGTAGGCTTTCTTCTCCACAGCGTAGAAGGGCTGTCCCCTCAGCTTGCTCTTGCATGTTATACAGGTGAAACACTCCACATGGAAGACTTGGTCCATGGCTGTACAACCAGTGCCTTCTCCAACGACATTCTCCCCGCAGCGGGCACAGCGTCCTGTCACCAGAGGGAAAGGACAGCAGTCAAAGCAAGCCCCTCGACCCAGCTGCAGAGGAGGCCCCACCACTCACCCATGGCTGCAGAGCGAGTGAGGGGGATGAAGCAGCTCAGTCCACAGAAAAACAATTTGTGCCACTGCTAGCAAAGATCTAGTACCACTGGAAGGCCCTCTGGTGCTGGTCCATATGAAAAGGTCTAGAAAGGATTGAAACTGGCTCCCAAGACAGCACTTACATCAGTTGTGCTGCTGCAAGCCAGCAATCATCGCAAGGACCCTGAGCTCCAGATACAAACCACTGAGCTATCATCTAACCCAGCTATATAGTCATCTTCAGTTCCTCAGGTAGATGGGATAAACCTGTGCCTTAAGCCTTGCTTCCACATGAAAGGATTTTGTTGTAGAAGCCTCATAAAGCTGCCTGGTGGCAGCACAATTTAAAGAGAAGATTTTGCTTGTACAGCTCAAACAAATTCTCTCAATGGAGCCAATTACTTTTCTTTTTCTGTTCAAAGATTAATACAGATTAAGATATTCTGTCTATTTAAAGCACAGAAACTATTCCTAAAGACACTGATGTGTGGATACTTTAGTCTTACCGTCCTTCAAGAAAGGTGTTTCAGAAACTGCCGTTAGAGACTCTGAGTACAGACAAGCCTTAAGAGCTCTATCTGTTTCTGAAAAGGGTCCTTAATGTCAGATACAAATGCATAGCAAAAAGTCTGCAGACACACACTTACAAAAGGCTTTCTGCCTTGTTCAGATTGTTGCTAAAGATGTTATGTGGCAGATAGATATAAAGTGAAGACAAGATTTCCTTAGCTCATGGGAAGAACAGTTCCCTAGGGGAGACTGTGTTGCAGAGATGATGGAAGAGGTGGGTAGAAGGCACACCTTTGCCATTTTTCTCTGCCATTTGAGTTCTAGAAAATGGAGATAGCCCATGAAGTTGTGATGTCCTTATACAACAATTTATATTGAAAAGGGTAGGCATTAAGAACAAGGTCAGCTATGCTACACAGGAGAACCCCACCAAAGAAAATAGAGAAAGTATGATCTGGGGCATTGCCCTGCTCAAAATGGCACTCTCCAGTTTAAGAGTAACTGTGGTGACCCCAGCCTGGGGGCTCTGCACTTCTTGAAGGCTTCATGGGTGGAGTGGTGTGATCAGCAAGGGTGGGAAAGGAAGCAAGAGCTGAGGTATAAGCAGGAAAGCAGACTGAGTTCAATACAGAATTTTTCATAAAGGCATATGTAAGTAACACATACCTGATAATAATTATATATTCCAGTAATGATACAATGCTCTCTCATACCATGGTCTGTTTGTTGGCCTTTTCATGCAAATACTGCACAACTTCCTACAAGGACTTAGACCTGTTCTGTCATCCCAAAAGTAGAACTGTGCACTGTCAGTGTCCCCACACTCATGACTTCTTTCCTGCCTGTCCCACACTCCAACAAGCTACTACACTCAGGGAACAAAGCATGTAAACTACTTTTGTATCCCTCAGGATACCACAGGATGATATATACACACATTTGAGATATATTACAAGCTTGGAAAAGAACCCAGATCATTACGGTTTGCTACAATGGCATAACTATGATTGGCTTTATACAGGACAGAGAGTTTCTGACTCAAACAGCTCCCAGCTTGAGCAGTGTGGAAAGAGAACTCACCAGATGAATCCAGACAAGTCTGGAAATCCCCCAAATGGAATTAATAATGCTGTATTTAAACTTAACTTTCTTTAGCATTTGTTATTAGGGTTTTGATTGTCACCGTTGTGCTTTAATCACTCCACTGTAACACTTCTAGAGAGGACTGCTTTTTTATGAGCAGAAAAGGAATTCAGGTTTCCCAGCATGGTGGTGAGGCTACAGAGCATGGGGGAAGAATGGAAAAAACCATGAGGGCTAGGAAGAAAAAACCCAAACACACTGGCGTGAACTACAGGAGCTGAGCACTGCACTGAGGAGGAGGCAGAAGACACCTCCTATGTACCACAGGACAGCCCTGCTCAGCCCTGCATGTGGACAGCACAGAGCTGCTCCAGGGCCTTCTCCAAACATCTCGTGTAGCTGGGCTGTAATATGAAGAGACGTCTGGGGAGCAGTTAATATCTCTATATATAAAACATGAAATTGAAAGCCATTAGTGTATTACTTTACACAGTGTTTTTCCAGAGGGAATATTCTGCTGAAGAATTTATTTTCCCTAGTGTGCCATTCTGTGATCATCCGGTATTATTTTTATGAGGCATTTGGACATGGAATAATGTAGTGTCTATGCAAACACTTCTCAGCTTTCTTTGTTAACATCTGAGCAGAACATGTGGGAATCTTTTCTACCCCTCCTTCTCTTCTCACATTCATAATTTAGCCAGGTCTTATGTGCTTCAGCATTTATCTTCCTCTTTGACCAAGACATCTCTCCATTTGCTGAAGTAGCTATCTACATGGAGACCATACTTCTGGCTGTACTTGTGCTAGGAGACCTGGGTCTATTTCCTAACTCAAATACATACTCCTGTAATCTCTGACAAATCACTCAGTGCCTTTGTACCCTGTCCCCTCTTTAAGCAAAGGGCATAAAGACATCCCTGCCTCCCAAAGGTGTCCTGAGGCTACATTTCCCCCATAGCTTTGAGGTATTCCCTAACTACACTGCTGGTGGTCAGATACAAACCAAAGAGTAGCACAACACGAGTCTTGGCCAACTTCTCCCCTTTAAATTGGTTTCCTAAGGCTTTCCTTCCTCTTTCTGGGTTTTTCCACAGAAGATTCCCACTGAGGCAGTGACAGACTTAACCTGGCTACATTTATGAGAAGTCCAGTTTCTGCTATTAAGTACACAGACAGAAATACTCCTATAAACTCTCACACAGGAAATCTTCCTTTTTTATAAGTTTATATGCAAACTGTAACTCTGTGGCCTTAAGCAAACCATGTTTTTCATGAGACATGGCAACTCCAGTGAGAATCAAAACACAAGCTCAGTGCCTGGCAACTCTCCCAATTGACTCACTCACCCAAAAGGTAAAAGCAAATAAGCCAAAATATTCAAATTTGGGAGCTCCAGTTGGGTGGCTGGATCCACTAAAAGGTACATGGGCAAATATACAACTAATCTGGTTTGCAGCAATGTGGTCACTGGAGACTGCACTTTCTGCAGACCTCTGTGCAATCTGGGAACTCGCAAGACTTCTGCAAAAAAACCTGTCTCTTCTCCCATCTCCTGCAACTCGCTCAAATGGAGTTGAAAATGGCTATTAGTTTCAAGTGTTGGTGAGGCTTGTCAACTGACAAGCAGACAGGCACATGTACACAGGCAGTGCAATTGCACAAGCCCCATTTCCTTAGAAAACCAGAAAAACCCCACTAAAAACAATGCATCTATCATTATGTCTGATAGAAACAAAACAAAGGTCTGCTTTTCCTGTGTGCCAGTTACCAACGGCGAAGGTATTTGTGGTTGGGCTCACCACAATTAAGTGCCCACACATGTTCCCCATTTTAATATTTTCACACTGGCTCAAATAACCCAGTCCGTTGTGTGCAGAATACCCATGAGTGAACACAGAACAAGTTGCACTGCTTATTGGGAAAGAAGTAGCAAAGTTTGCAAGACTCAAGAACAAACAGATTGCACAAAAAAGATTACACAAATAATCTAAGAGAAAAATAGCAGGCAGCGTATTACAGTAGAAACACAGAACAACGTGACCCATTTGCTTCCCACAAACAGCATTTAAAAGGCAGCTTAAAGACAAAGGACAAAATTAGCACTAAACTGCATGAAGATGAGAAACTATGTCATTTCAACATTCTTCTTTTGCCCCTCCAGCCCTTTTTAGATCCTTTTTCAAGATTATTTCAGCAAAACTAGAAGGCGATATGTTGGCAGCAAGCCTGGGAGACTGGAGTCCTCTATTTTTGCATGAAAGAGGTTCATAACCTTGGCTGTGCTGTGACCTTCCTTCAGCCCAGCCTGGCTGCCACATGGTGGTCTTTCCTTGGGGGGATGTACAGAAGTGCCCACAGAGGCTTCTGTGCTGAAAGTGCCATCATTAGTGAGTTTCACACAGAAACACTTCAGCAGCTGAAAGGATACATCAGCTACGATACTCTATTCTGAAACCTCCTCACTTACTGTCTTCTATTGTGTAAAAAATTTGAAATATTGTGAATCTGAAGGAAGAGAGGGAAGGGAGAAGAGGAGCTCATATTGCACATAATGCCATGTTCTAACTTCTTGTTATCTAATTGCTATTATTACATGGTTTTCACCTATACCGCCCCAGATCCTGGCTGCTCAGATTATAGAACAGATCCATTCTGCGGGGTATTGGAGAAACACAGAATTCACAGAAGGACCCAGCTGCAGGAGTTTATAACCTAATACAAGCAATGAAAACTGAGTAGTGATAGGAAATAGAAGGAAACAATCAGACAAAACCAGTCAGCAAGGGAAGCTGTGCTCTCAGCACTCTAAATGTTTTACTGTTGACAAGGAGTCTGTAGACAGCACAGCAAAGGAAAAGGTTAAGGAAGAATTTGAAAGAGGACCCGGAGGGAGTTTAAAGGAAGTTTAATGGAATGCTTCTGAAGAAAGGACAAAGACAACACAAAAGAGAATGTAAGTGCTTGAAGATTGAACATAGACGCCTTCAGATGAGAAGGATGAGCTGGTATGTCACTAGAGAATACTAGAGGAAGAAGGGTGGGAATAGGTCATTACAGGTCATTCAGGTAAAGGCATGAAGCTTCTGTTTGATATGAGGCAGAAATTAAACCAGAGGATAAATGTTTAAGAGTTGGATTCAAGGATCCTTGTGGGCCCCTTCCAACTCAGGATGTTCTTCGACTCTATGACTAACAGGCAGAAATGATCTGGCCTAAGTTAAAAGCCAGAGAGTTATTTTTGCAGCTAGTTGAGCATGAATAGAGAGAAACTGCATTTTTTGAAAAGGATGTTGCAGAGATTCAAGGTCAC